GACGCCTAGTTGACTTGTTCAAGAAGTTCAAAAGATAAGTGCACAAAGATTACAAGCAACACAACTAAGATGTTTTGTTTTTTTTGTTTTTAAAAAATAAATAATTTTAAAAGCCTGTAAAATAAAAAAGAAATTAAAAAAGAATAAGAAACAGTAGAACATTAACTTGGAAAAACAAGATAATGCCAAACCGGTCCAGACTTCGCCCTCAGGGTTAAAGACGAGAGCTTGTAAGAAATATGACACATTACATATTACACTTAAAGCTTTCAAGTGTTTTTTAAAATAAAATACAAAGTTTCGTCAACTAGATTTTTTCATACCAGTAAATAAAACAGCCTAGCTTCTTAGTGGGGGAACATGCACAAAGTCTCCCTATTAATTCAATGCAGATGGCTCAGTCATCTTTCATTCAATGCAGATGGCTCAGTCATCTTTCATTCAATGCAGATGGCTCAGTCATCTTTCATTCAATGCAGATGGCTCAGTCATCTTTCATTCAATGCAGATGGCTCAGTCATCTTTCTAATCACGTGAATGTAAATTTAATGTTTTGATTAAAAAAAAATTAAATTATTTAAAGCCATTTCAAAGAATTTTTTTCCCTTCTAAAATAACATTACTGAGAAAAAAAAGTTCTCTCTGTGTTTTTATTTTAAAATCACAATAAATATCGGTGCATCATATCGGCTCACTTGCTGTGAACATTTTTTTTTCAACCTCTTAAATATTAAAACTAAAACAAAATCAAACTGTATTTCCAATACAAAAAAATAATTTCAAAAATGGCACTTTCAAAAACAGAGATTTTATAAATTAATGAATGGTTTAAAATAAAAAAAAACAAAGCAATATGTTAAATTCATTAATTTAAGAAGAAAAAAACATAATAAACATGAAAAAAACAACAACAATTATTGAAGTTGTTTTAAGACTTACACAAAAGATAAATCATAAGCAGATTACCCAGGTTAAATTATAATTCTTGTTTATAACACAAGTATGAATATAAAAATTTTAGTGATCACAACACAATAAGAGTGAATGAGACAAAATTAATATAAACAACATAAATTTAGTAAGTGCACTAGCTACCAAATATATTCATTTATAGGGATCAACCGGATAAACATTTAGAATGGGTACCAAATCCATGTTGTTGTTTTTTTTTTACTACCATTTGCCAAATCCGGGCACGAATCCAAGGACTATGTGTTCATTATTCATAATGAATCTCCCCTTATATTACAGCAGATAACACCATCCACATAAAATGCTATGTCTAAATATAATACGATCTGTTAACCTAACAATATTTTTTTTTTAAATAATGAAGTAATTATTTATTTTTAGATAGAAGTGTCCAAATCCTTTAAATTAGAATATTTAAAAATAACTGGGGTCATTCCGATAAACTATGCTAAATCCCTTCAAAGGGGCACTAATAACATCACTGGTGTTATCAGCATCACATTTCGTTTACCAGTAACACATTTTTTTACACGCACTTATAATGCAGACCCCTACTTTTAACAATTTATGTCCACATAGCGCAGTGAGTAAAAAAGAAATAAATTCTATCCACATGACCATATGGTGAAAAATAAAAGTTATAAAACTGTAATCTCAATAGCTTTGCAAAGTTGGATGATATTGACTTTGCATTGTTTAAAATTTAAATACAGGAATCTGTATTACTACTACTAAATTTAGAATAATTAACCTACTAATTCATTTAAAATTAAATCTAAATTGCTATCAACTTCATTATCAGAGTCCATTTTTTTTAAAAACTACAGATCAAAATTTGACAAATAAATCTGGCTTTAAACAAACTAATTTTATTTAAAAGTTGTGATTTATTCATTTGGGAAGGATGTAAACATGTTAGAATGAGCATGCTGCTAATATTATATAGGGAGGATTTATGGATTTTGTGGGGGGGGGGGTGGGGGGGGGAATTGAACTCCTAACCACAAGTTGGAATTAACGCTATTTAGATTGCGTAGTCATCCCATCACCCATTTTTATGTGCCAATTTATTGGATATCTTTAAAAGTTAAATTTTCAAATAAATTTTGGGAAGGATGTAAACATGTTAGAATGAGCATGCTGCTAATATTATATAGGGAGGATTTATGGATTTTGTGGGGGGGGGGTGGGGGGGGGAATTGAACTCCTAACCACAAGTTGGAATTAACGCTATTTAGATTGCGTAGTCATCCCATCACCCATTTTTATGTGCCAATTTATTGGATATCTTTAAAAGTTTAATTTTCAAATAAATATTAGGATCAGCATCGGTGGTATGGTATTATTTGCAGAGGCGACTACTTGAAAAACACAGGATGTTCGGTCAGGGCGAATGTACGAAGCGAGTTCCGGTTGTTCACTATTCATTTATACCATAAGTCAAATTTAAACAGAAAAATGAGTGAGAACCAATTTCCTGGTATCATGACTTCAAGAAAACATTAAATGCTATTTCAGGTAAGATTTAAAATGGCTAATGGAGCATTCAACATTCTTGTCCAAAATGTTATAAATAAAGGGGCAGAAACATATTTCCCTGAAAGGAGTAATCTGCCTTAAAAAAGTTCTTTATACTTGTTAAATATGTTTGCCATGCAAAAGGATTAACTTACATGTTTTGTTAATTGTTTGATACATAATAAAACATTTAAAAAAACCCACCCTCTTTATGCTTGTACACTGGAAATAAATTTAAGCATTAGACTTGAATTTATGTTTCCCCTGAAACATTCCATGTAGCCTTAAAAATTTTTGACCAGTTTAAAATAAGAATTTAAAAATTATTCAAATTAAGATTACATTCTGCTCAGTAAATATGAATCAAATTTGTAACAAGTGTTTATCAGATTTAAATTAAAACAAATCTTTCTTAATGCAAGTAATGCAATAATAGAGATAATACGTTTACACTCTGCCACAATCTATCCTGCAGCTCCAAGTCTAGAGGTAGGCTGGAATAACTCAGTAAGACATGGCAGTTAAAGGGTTAAAAAAAATTAAAATACAAGTAGTTTGGTTTGATTACAAAGATTCAGATATCAATACAAAAAACAAAAAAAAAAGTGTAGCAATGAGCAGCTCACATCACAAATCAGAATTTATTAATGCAACACAATCTAGAGAATCTCTTAGCTTTTTTTAAAATTAAAAGCTCAAAAATATAATTTAAACATTGCGAGCATGTGAGTTAAATATATGAGTGTTGTACACACCCAATAGTAATTAATTAGATAATGAAATAATTTTAGCTATCGGGACAATATTAAAGTTGTGTTAATATCAATAACAAAAATTTAATTAAGCATCATTACTATCAATTTTTAAAGCGAGGAAAAGAAAGAAATTATTATTACTTGACTGTGAAAATGAATACTTTTTTTTCACTGCCTTTTGCAATTGGTTTTTTTAAAAATAATTTGTAATTCCCAGATATCATTGGACACATTCACATCCATCCATTTAAAGGCTATTATCATTATTATTAAAAATTAATAAATATTTTGAAAGACCAGCAATAGTTGACACATGTTACACGAGGTCAATAATATTATAATACACGTGTGGTACAAATTACTAGCCATTTAGTTAGTGGACTATTTACACTAAAAAAAATTACTAGCCATTTAGTTAGTGGACAACTTACACTAACTATTTTTTTTTTTTTAAATTGAATGGAATTTTATCGAATTCCTTTCTACAATAGACATATTGGAGTAATACACTGCACTGATATCAAAGAGAGGAAATATTTCCTTTCATTTTCAACATTCACAGTGTCAACATTGACAACAAAACATGTGGCTTTGATCTAATTATAACTTTAGCCAATGCATGCAGTCTCCAATGTTGATGTTTTTATAAAAAGTAACATCTTACTTGTTGTGTTGCATTAAACTTTCAATACTTTATTTAACTTTAAATACAATCCACATTGCTGTTTTTTTTTTTACTTTTAAAATTTAGATTTATAAAGGAAAGAGGAGAATAAAATTAGCAAAATAGACAACAGATTACAAAGTAACAGTTCCTTTTCTTGGTCTTGTGTAATACAAGTTAAAAGAACAATTGAAATGGCCCACCCACAGTGGGCTCAACTAACCAATAACATATGTGCAGTGACAACACCTGGAACTTGTGAAGGAGGAAAAAAAAAAGGACAAAGTCTGCCACTAGATCTTTACCATCAAGTGAGCCCAACTGTTTTATCTGCTTCATATCCTAAGTGCTCTCTTTAGCTCACTTAGTATTTCATTCACAAAAATATATTTAAATCATGATTTATCAGTGTTGGAGGTATTTTAACACAAAAATTTTGGTTGCATGAGTTCTAGCATACTTTTTCAACTTGATGTAGTTATGTTCTTACACTTTTGGGTTTACTTGAGCATTGGTAATTTTTAAATTTCCTTATGTGTACCGGAACTTTTATGGCTGTTAAAATAATATACTCAACAGCATAAAACCAGCTTTTGCATTTAAATTCAGATTCTATATATATATATATATATATATTATATACACAAATATTATAAGGAGAATAAGAAGGCCGGATTTGTAATTGAATTCAACAAGTACCCTTCATTCAGTTATCTTTTTTGAATTATTCATTCATAACTTTCTATACAAACAACACATAAGGTGTGAAGATTAAGTTTAAACTCAAACTTAATGGTGGTTTGGGGGGGGGGGGGGGGATAAGGTGAACATAATACTTGACTATGGCAAAAAATGGGGGTGAAATAAACCATTCAACCAAAGTGACATATACAATTTTGTGCTAGAAACATTTGCCACCTGCCATCATCCTAATGCATCTGTATAGAAACCACCCAGATGAGTTAGTAAAAACTAACCTGGGAGTTGATATGGTCACAATTTTCATCTTAAAGTTAAAAAAACCCAAAAAACTCTTAAATTTTTGGATAAGAGAGTTTTTTATAACAAATTTGTTTATTTTTTAAATAAATGACTTTCCTGATATTTAAGAATGGCTGATCAAAGACTTTCCTGATATTTTAGAATGGCCTATCAAAGACTCTCCTGATATTTCAGAACGGCATATCAAAGACTCTCCTGATACTTCAGAATGGCATATCAAAGTAGGGTATCCAAAGTTTACACTCAAGCTTATCGTCTATTCATTATATTCATAATGATGGCCAGGCCTGCATTTTAAATAAAATTGTCTGGCCACAAATCCATTGTGATGACACACCCTTCAAACATGTGACACTAGTAAAACATTCAGTCTAATCCATCCATCCCATGACACAGGAAATATTTCAATTTAGATTATTTAACTAAAAACTATAAGTAACATCTCTAGCCTGTAAGTGGGTGTAGATCCACTCTGACCTTTTCATTGCAGCTGAGCATTCCGATGGTTGGGTAGAAACCCCCTTTGGGCACCGTCACTTCTCTGTGACCTATCACTTTGCCATTCCTTGTAAAAAATACCTGAAGAACAACAACAAAAAAAAAAAGGTGTGTTACAGTCTTGGACTTGATTCTCACTAGATATGATGGCGGGCAGGAAAAAAAAACACACCAATAATAATTTACAAACATCCACAACTGAATGGATGCATTGAAAATTTTCTTTATTGCTGGATATTGTGTGCAGAAAGTGACTTTGAGGAATATCCTAATAGTGATCAATCATTATCACAAGCTGAATATGAATGCTGAGAGTTCATTTTCAACAGTGATGGTTTCTGATTGATTTATAATTAATAAAATTGTCTGTAGTTATAATTAAAAAAATGTCTATGTAATGTTTTACAATCATTACTATAAAATATTCTGAAAAAAAAAGAGTAGGTCTATATTTTTCATCCCCAAATTGTTGATTGCATTCTTGGATTGAGAAATCTTTTAGAGTATTACAACTGCAATCCACTCTAAATTATCATTAGCTTTATAAATGCAACCACAATTTTCTTACACACATCTAACACAGGTTTCAAATTTCTATGAAGGTGTTAAAACCACTGAGATGAGCAGCACTTCTTTATCATGCAGTCTATCCTATGAGGGGACTGCTCCTAGGCAACCGTTCCATCCCAGCTACAATGTGACCCAATCACAAAGTAGAAACCATGTGTAGAAACCCTATTAGAGGGTGTCTGGTCACCACCCCAGCATGGGAAGAGTTTTTTTTTGTGGACATTAAAATATAGTCCAAAGAAAGTTCAACTGCAGGTGTTGTGAGAGCAGCACCACCAGCCAACCAGGTGTTCCTTCATTGATGCCGCCCCACTCACATAGTCAGGAATGCCCCTGAGGTGACACTTCAGGGTCCGACTAGAATTACGCCACTTGAGTTGGAGGGAAGAGGGGGTACATTGGGGAGGACTTAATGAGCTCTGGCTCGACAGCTTGCTGTTTTTCTTAAGGGAGTGAGCTAGTAGCAATTCTTAAAGAAATCTAACACAGGTTTCAAATTTCTACCAAGATGCTAAAACTGCTGTGGTAGGCAGCACTTCCAAAGTAATATGACTTCTGACTTATTCTCCAGGAAAGCTCATGAACATTCAAAGACATGAACTCTCTATGTGGAGAACTAATAAAGATGAGGGCACTAGCAAGTGTTTGGTCTGAAGTCAAGCCCTCACCTACTTCTTAAAACTAACAGTTTCTTTTGTATTTAAAACTGGTTAAAATAAATTTCATTTAAGCAGGTGGCAACAAATACTTTAACATTAAAACAGAGAAGTAATCAGACTGTCAGCACAGAAAAAAAAAAAAATTGTAGTATTTGTTTCTTTTGGCTTAGAAATGTCAGAAGGAAAATTGGGAATCCCTCTGAAAATAGGAAAAGCCACATCTTCATGAAACAAATGTTACTTTGTTGATGGATTTGTTAGCCTGACATCCTTGAGAGTTAGACAATTTTTGCATCACTCTGTGATTTGATAATTACTTTTTTACTCCTGTTTGTGATAAAAGTTTCATTTAAAATGAGCCCATGACTTTGGTTTCAGTTTAAGAAAAATTAGATGAATTTGCGGAAGCAACTGAATAACTGACATGTTTTTAAAATAAAAAAGAGATGTCAAACAACAACAACAAAAGACCAAATAAAATAATGTCACAGAAAAATTAAATAGACGTAAAACAAAAGAACTAAACACTCACAACATTTAGTTTTACGACATCAACCCAGACTTTGCAAAAAATAAATTCAGGGTTTGACATTCTAATTAGTACAATTTTTAATCTATGTTATCATTTACTCCATGTATTTTTTTCTTTTAAAGCAGTGGTTCTCAACCTTTCTAATGCCGCAATCCTTTAATACAGTTCCTTGTGTTGCGGCGACCCCCCAGCCACACAATTATTTTCACTTGATACTTTATAACTGTAGAGTATATATGTTTTCAGATGGTCTTAGGCGACCCCTGTGAAAGGGTCATGCGACTCCCAAAGGGGTCGCGACCCATAGGTTGAGAACCGCTATTTTAAAGGCATATTTTGTTCCTCCGGCTTGATCTGCCAATACCCTATGGTCAATATCAAGCCCTGATGAATTTTTATGGAAAGTCCTTACTGTTACTTTTGCAGCCTTCCCCTTGTGGTGACGTCTTTTGGGAGGTCGAAAAAATGGGTCATCTTCATCATCCGAGTCACCAAGACCAAGAATGTCATCCAGCTGGCCATCTTCATCCTCATCCAGATCTTCATCCTCCTGACTCATGCCATCATCGTCCTCATCATTGCTCAGTGCCTCTGTTTCATTGTCGTAGTCTGGGGGGAAGTAGATCCCACAACCCATGGTGTCACCTGCCACGGGTGGAAAAAGATCAGATTGTCATGTCACCTTGTATTAAGCATACAAAGATTTAAATTTAAAAACCAAGTTTCAATCCAGAGAATCTCAATGGCAATCCCTTAGTATCTTACACCTCTTACAATAATACAGTTGTGTCTAAGTGTATGAGTTGCAGAATCTGTCAAGCTGACATCAACAAAATACAGTGGAACCTGGGATAATAAACTTAAAATGTTCTGTGACTCTGTTATTAAACAGAAATGTTCACAAACCAAAATCATTTTTCCCATACCAATCAATATAAATGGAATTAATCTTTTCCAGTATTAGAAAAATGTTATTTTTACATTTTAAAGTATTTTTCAGTAATAAAAGAAAAAAAAAGCAGGCAATTGAAATATTCATTACAGTCCTCCCTCGACACTTCGTGCTTCAACTTTCGCGGCTCCAATCTATCACATTTTGTTTCTTTCAATATAAAATGTATTCATTAAAAAGTTGATCGTGAAAGTGAGAATGATAGTGAAAGTGAGAATGATAGTGAAAGTGAGAATGATAGTGAAAGTGAGAATGATAGTGAAAGTGAGAATGATAGTGAAAGTGAGAATGATAGTGAAAGTGAGAATGATAGTGAAAGTGAGAATGATAGTGAAAGTGAGAATGATAGTGAAAGTGAGAATGATAGTGAAAGTGAGAATGATAGTGAAAGTGAGAATGATAGTGAAAGTGAGAATGATAGTGAAAGTGAGAATGATAGTGAAAGTGAGAATGATAGTGAAAGTGAGAATGATAGTGAAAGTGAGAATGATAGTGAAAGGTCGGTTGTCTGAGTCAATTATACACCCCTGTATACAATTAAAATTACTGTATGTATGGACTGTAGGACTAGGTATCCGAGCACCACCCAGAGGTTCTAATAATGTTAAAAACTTCACTTAGAGGGCCGTGAACAGGTTTTCTATGCTCTAACTATGAAAATATTCCATTCATAAATGATGAATCATGCTTTGTGGAAATTAATTTATTGCGGTAGACTCTGGAAGTGATTGACCAGGATAAATGAGGGACATTTGTATATTGCTTGGAGATGTTAGAAAAATTAAGAAGATTATCATATTTAAATATAGTAATATAATTTTTTTCTTTACTTCCACACTAAAATGAGTACTATAATATAGATGTCATTATGGGGGCTAAAATAAGACAAAAAGTGCAAAAATAACCCTCATAAAGGTGCTTTTTTTAACACAGCACTCCGACAAACTGCAAAAGCGCGAAAGCACTACTGAGCTGGTGGCAATGTGTGTACTGGCATACGAGTATGTTTGTACCATGAGGTATCATTCGTTGACCCTGACAGAAAATAATTGTTCACAGAACTTGTTGGTTCACTTATTTGTTTGTTAAATGGGGCGATTGCTATCCCAGGTTCAACTTTTATGAATAGATCAAGCACTCACCCATGGAACATTTTGGACCAAACTGAACTCCCATCCCAGAGCCATGGAATAATTTCCCATCATCTGTAATAAAAACATATTCGATGTGAATTATAATTATCTGGCAGGAGCAGAACGCTATGTTTAATGGGTTAGATTCCGTGTCTTTGTTAGTCATATCACAGAGAGGATAACAATCTTCCATTTGTTATGGTACTGATAAAGACTGAAGTGAGAAATGAAATTTAAATTACACACAAAACCTTACAAGGTAATTCACTCTTTTCTTTATAACAGTAAATAAGCTTAAGCAGCTTACAAACCATACAGCTTCAGAGAGATCTGAACTTGTGTGCAATCAGGTCAACTTACCAGCATGGTATGCTATTGATCCATTGTTCCAGCCAGGATGCCTTCTCATTGGATAGTTCTAGAAAACAAGTTATTCCACTTTTATTAAATCAAGACAAAGCTCATTTATTAAAAATAATGCGACAGCAGTCTCCTTTTCAATAAAATAGTTTGGCCTCATTCCTCCTCAAAACATTTAACTATACCATGTGATGCACATTGAAGGCCTCCGCTTGTATCTGTGCACATCCCACCAATGAAATCCATGAAAGGCTGAATGGGTTAAATCAGTTGTTTTTAACTTAGCATGACCTTAGTGGTCTGAAAGGGCATCAAAGATGGGATACTTTTTTAACACTAAAACTCTCTTTGAACGTAATCAGTTCAACAATTAAAACTATCGTTCTTGTTATTTAATGGTCAAATCATTTAACATTAAAAAAAATATATTTAAAAAAAAAAAAAAATATATATATATATATATACATATATATATATATACTGGTAATTAAATTTAGAAGCCACAAGGCAATGTTTTCTGTAGAGAGCACTACATTTACTAACATTGTATAGCACTTTGTTATTATTATTTTCACATAACTACAGGAAAGCTGTAAAATTTCCACTACAACGCAAAGTGCTTCAAGAGCTCACATTTTGAAGAATAATAAGACAAACAATTTGTGCAAATAAAATGATCCATGTTAGGCTTGATTATGAGGAGACAAAGAAGATATTCAAAAGTTTTAGCTGATGCTTTTAGCAGTACAACAAAAGGTAATATTATAAATCAAATTGATATAATGTATGTGTATCATATTAACACCTAAGAAAGAAAGAAAAGAATAAGAATGGACATGGTTCCCTAAGAAAAACAAAGATTAGAACAATGAAATGCCTTTTTGAAAAGCATTGTATCAGGTTCCCAAACAAAAACAAAGATTAGAACAACGAAATGCCTTTTTGAAAAGCATTGTATCAGGGCATCTTTTTTTTTTTTGGGGCACCGATGTGAAGAAAATCTTTATAAATACAATCACAGTACACCACTAACTATTTACCGCTACTGGTTTACATTTATAAAAAAAAAAAAGATTAGAAAAACGAAATGCCTATTTGAAAAGAATTGTATCAGGGCATCTTTTTTTTTTTTTGGGGCACAGATGTGAAGAAAATCTTTATAAATACAATCACAGTACACCACTAACTATTTACCGCTACTGGTTTACATTTAACAACAGGTGCTCATCTTTTAGTGTGGTGTTCTTTTGAAAAAAATATTAATGCAATGCAAATTTGGATTAATTATATTCATTTTAGTTGTGTCATTAATTATGCCTGGATATCAGATGTGGCCTATCTTTTGATACATTTTTAAAAAAAATGAATCATTAAAGATTTTTTTTAACCTTAAAGTGTATGGGTTTTAGCTCACGATAAACCAGGACAAAATCCAGTACTGTCCTGATATAAACAGTATGGAATGGGCACCTCCTCATTTAACAACACTGACAAAAAAAAACCACATGGTGGTTTGACAATGAAATTGTTACGATAGTAGTCTAATTTATACCTGTTTTGCAAGACCTATAGCTAAATAGCATTTGTCACCAGGATCTACGATCTCAAACTCAAAGTAGTGATTAGTTGTGTCTAGTGGATATTTAGCCTGGGCCAGCCCAACATCATGGATTGTCCTTCCCCGGCCAGTGTATTCTAAAGTCTGAAAAATTAAAATTATATGCCATATGATTAAAAAAAAAATTTAATTACCTGATGGGACCTTAAAAGAGTGAGTCCCCTTAGGTATCTTTAAGAGTGACTCTTCAAAACAAGGAGGTGGAGATAATAATCAAGATTAAATGCAAATAGTGTCACATAATATACATGCCTATGTTTTGAATTAAATGGTAATAAAGATCACCAGCTAAACTTGCCAAATATGTTTCTTTGATTTTAATTTAAATGGAAAAACTATTTGAAATTTGTATCACCGGTTTAAAAAGGTAAAGAAGAAATTGGGCCTTAGCAGAGTAATTTAGGGGCTCAACAGATTCTGTCCGTACAAAGACTGCTGCTTAACAATGTATTTATTATTAGCCAGGCTGGATATAAGTGAGAATTTTTTTAATACAAATTTTAAGAAAGCTCCCAAGTTTTAAAAAAACCATTATTTATAAAACTAGAATGCCAGCATTACCGTTCCATTTAGTCGCACATCTTCCAAGCGAACCCAGTCTTCTTCTCCACAATCTACAACCATCTGTGTCACATCATCTGGGTTCCATGTTGCATCCAATCTTAGTATAACCTCTTCTCCTTCTGACTGCATGCCTACCGCAGGGTAAAGCTGATATGGCCTTAGTGCAAGATCGAAATTCTTCACCTTTTGAAATTTAATCAAGTTTTTATGAGGATGAATTCGACACTAAGCATGAGGTGTAAAAAGATAGTTACGTGAAAGGGCCACTATTCTCCTGTCATTAATTTGATAGTATGAGATGAAAATGAAACAAAGTTAATATAGGCCTATATATGTTAACTTGCAAATATATGTTGATTTTCTTATTTTTTAAAAATGTGTGTGATTTAAAACTAATTATTTAAAATATCCATTCTAAGATCGTATCCGTATTTGATCGAACGGAAATTTGGTGGAATCTTTTTTTCAGTTCAAGCGTTAACATTTTGCTTCAAATTTCTTTTTTAACACATTATTTTGTTTTACTATATAGCATAGTGCGTTCTAAAAGAAATTTGACGAAAATTTTAACGTGTGAACTAAAAAAAGATTCAACCAAATTTCTGTTTGATCAAATTACCGTTGATCAATTTACCGTCGAAAAAATTTCTTTCGATCGAATTTCCGGTAACCTTTTAAGATATATCAGTTGCTAACCTCTTGACCATTGCGTGTGAAAAAAATCTTTGAGCTGTGTCGATCACCTCCAGCTGGGTCATCAATAGGTCTTATACCTACACCCATTCGGTCACCCATCCCACACTGAGGTCCATACTGGCTCATATCTGAATTTCCACGACCATGGTTGACAAAAAACCTGTTGTTTTTTTTTAAATATAGAGTAATTTATTGGGTTAAAGCCTTTTTGGTCTGGATTATTTACAAACTAAATCCTTGACATTCTTAATACAAATAAATTCAGATAAAATGTATTTCATCCAAGATTGGCCTGTTTTTGTTTATCCATAATAATCCTACTTCAGGCAACTACATAGAAGACCTCCATAGTTTTTTTACTGTGCTTTGTTACTTGTTCTACTTGTTTTGTTTGCTGGTGAAGGCTCTAAGCCGAAACGTCCAAATCTTTTGTCCTGTCTATTTATTCAAGTTTAGCATACCTTGTTCTTATGTTTTGTTTATCCAACAGTCTTGAGAGCATTTTGTCAAAAAGCTTAACCCTGCACTTACCTTCCATTCTCTGCCACATACCCCACAGAGTTGGCTTCAACACCAGGATGGCAATTAAGACAAGAGTTTTCAGATACTAAACCAATTCCTATCAAGAAAACAAATCAAAACATTATTTTTTTTAAATTGTTGAAATTTAAGAAAACATATTTGATTGCAATCAAGTGACCAAAAAAAAAAAAAATTATAGTATATGTGCAAACATTGTTCATCATTATTTTATATTGTTTTCATGTCATTCCTAAAATATCGAAACGCTTAGTTAAAAAATCCATATTGGTATTAGCCAAAGAGGTTGGAATAAAAAACTCTAATTGTATTTTTTGAGGCAGAAAATATATATTTCTATTAATATTAACCATAAAAGCTTCCTATATTCTGAAATACTCTACTTTACATTTTTGTGGGACACCCCCCCCACAACTCTGGTTTTTAATACATAATTTTTTTTTTTAATTATAACATAAATTATATAATGGTTTATCTTTTTATTAAATTCTGAATAAATAAAGCTTGAACTATTATAAAACTAATTTAATTACCAATTTGCCCAGTGTCTCCAACATCAAGTATCTCAATTTCAAAATAATTACTGTAATGATCCACACTGTGAGCAGCAACATACATGCCTGGAGGGTCTTCAGAACCACCACTATAGCTGTAATTATAAACGGTTAGACAATTCTTTTGTTAAGCTACTCTCGACTTGAGTGTTTTAAAATTTATTCATTCTTCTTTGCATTAAAAAAAAAGCAAAGTAACTTTAATACAAAATTTATTGATCAGCACCATCAGCCATTTATAAATGAACTTACATTTCTTACCTTTAAACAGTATGAATGAAACAATTTTGGGTTAATAAAAAAGTATTTACAATCACATAATTCTACCTGAGAACATCATCCTCAATTTTAATTCGCTGACACTTGGGCTCACCCCTTGCAGGACCCGGTACTCTTCCGGGGTGAGGTCCCTGATAGCGATATATTCTCCCCCTGCCACGGTTGTTTATAATTTGGTCATAACCCATTTCCTGCTGAAAATGTTGCATGGCAGCAAATGGGGCCCTGTCACGATGATGATGCTGCAATACTGCACGAATTCGAACTAAATCGTCCATTTTTCTTGATACCAGTCAGCTTCATCTGGTTCTTGGACTGTAAAGATGAAACAAAAATAAACTATAGAAAATTCAATGCTTATGTACAAATCATTATCAGAAATTGCTAGTACACTTCCTTTTCTATCTATGTCATTCAGTTGTATCTTGTTTAATCCTGCTTATCAATTACATTTATTTATAAATGAGTTCTCAATTTCAAACATCTGATTTTTTAAAGGAGTTGGCACATGATCCACACTGCCTGTGTCACATGTTAAAATACAAATGGAAATATGAGGACGTGATCTTTATTCAGACACTTTGTTAATATTTAAGCACCTTCCCCCACCCAATCAAAGCAACAATTACTTTTTGTTTAGCATTTGTCATTTGTGTCTCAATCCACCAATGAAGATGCAAATATATATGTATATCATGCTAGTAAAATTAAACCAATGAAGGTTGTATGAGTTGGGAATTTCCCCTTAACTTTGTTTTTGTTCCTCTTGCTATATTCAATAAAAATTACTAATTTTCACTGTGCTGCCTGTTAATAATTTATTGTGTCTGAAGTGGTGCATGGTTGCTTTGTCACAAGGTAAGCATTTTGTAGTTCATAAGTGACGTCAAACATTAATTATTATTTTTATTTTTTTATCATACATATAAAAGCTGAATTTGATAGTGGTGTTTAATTTTCTGTTGTGCTGGCTGTATTCTAAAAGAAGATGTTATTTAGTAGTGTCTTAATTTAATAGTGAAGTGTTTTTCAGGTTAAATTTTTCAAACAAATCTTGCATTTTTGAAGTGTAACATGCTTTTAAAAAAAAGGGGCTTTTGTGACAGATTTGTGAAGGGAAGGGGGAGGGGAGGAATTTTTTTTTTAAATAGCGTGACATACTTTATGGATGGCCCCTTTGACTTTGATGAGAAGCATTAAAAGCATTGGTTAAATGTCAGCTTACAAACATCAGTAATAGTAAGCTACCATTGATTATTGATGGCATGGGAAGGGTATCCATACAATTTTTTTAAGAATGAGAAAAAGGTAGGAACATTGATTGGTATTGGATATAATCATTCACTGAAAATCATACAATTAAATGAAAAATAAAAATACATAAATAAGACAAAAGTAATAGTACTAATAGGCATCAGTTTTGTAGTCCGCCTACCGACTTGGTCATAGCACAGAAACAGCACTGGTCCGAGTCATGAGTGACCTCCTGCGTGCGATGGACGATGGCAAACTCTCTATTCTCACTCTGTTAGATCTCTCTGCTGCATTTGATACCATTGACCACCAGATTCTTCTTGACCGCCTTCATCTTTCTTTCGGACTTACTGGCTCAGCTTTAAACTGGTTTCAATCATATCTTTCTGACAGAACTCAAAAAGTCTCTATTTCCAACCGCTCTTCCAAACCTTCAGCCCTGTCTATTGGAGTTCCTCAAGGATCGGTCCTTGGGCCGGTCCTTTTCATCCTCTACACTAAACCTCTATCATCTCTCATTAGCCACCACTCAGTTTCCAGTCAATCCTTTGCTGATGACACTCAAATCAGTGACTCTTGCTTTCCTGATCAACTTGATGCCACAATCCTTCGCATACAGGAGTGCGTGGACGATGTAAAGCGTTGGATGACTTGCAACAAACTGAAGCTAAATGATGATAAAACGGAAATCCTTCTCATCCACTCTCAAAACAAACCTCTCCCTCCATTCGCTCCTTCTTCTATATCTATTGGCAACTCTGACATCACACTCTCTCCCTCTGCCAGAAACCTTGGAGTCACGCTTACGGACACCCTCTCCATGGACAAACATGTCACGAATATATGCAGATCAGCATATAACGAAATTAGAAAAATCAGCACCATTAGACACCTCCTCTCCTTTGATGCCACAAAAACTCTCGTCTCTTCACTCATTCTTTCAAAATTTGACTACTGTAACATTCTTCTCTCAGGCATTCCTCAACACCACATAGAAAAACTTCAGAAGGCACAGAACTCAGCATGCAGACTCATTTTTAAATTAAAGAAACATGACCACATTCAACCACACATGCGGCAACTCCACTGGCTTCCAATATCCTCTCGCATCAAATACAAGTCTTCCAATCTTTGCTTCAACTCGTTCACTGACCCTCACTTTCCTGTCTATCTCTCTGAACTGTTGCTTCCTTACATCCCCACAAGACAACTACGTTCTTCCATTGACAGTAGAACCCTCTCAATCCCAAGAACTAAAACTAAGACCATCGGTGAACGCTCCTTCTGCTTCCATGGGCCCACGTTCTGGAACCAGCTCCCCTTCCATATACGTCATAGTGAAACCTCGTCCATTTTCAAAAAGTCCCTTAAAACTCATCTGTTTAGGTCCGCCTATGACCTGTGATGCACCCTCCTTGCCCTACCTAATTTTCTGTTTCGGTTTAATCCTGAAGTGTCAAAGTGTCCTCTTTTTATAGCCATTTTCATTGTTTCTATAGAATAGTAGTTACTATCCTAGTGTCTCATTTGTATTTACTTAGTTTACATGTTTTAATAATTGTAAAGCGCTTAGAGCTTTATGATAAGCGCTATATAAAAATGTCTAAATAAATAAATCTAGGTTAGGTGAAGGTGCAAATCAAAATCTATTAGTATTAGTTTAGAACAACTTTTGTGCCCCCTTCCACCCATTAGGCTTTAGGTGTTCATCCTCATAAAGCTTACCAGTCAATCGCTCTTATTATGTCTAAGGACTACAAGGCTTGAAGTCATTATTGCTATTACAGACTACTGTTACTACCATAGTCTACAGTTCCCCACTTTGATGAAAATTTCAAAACATTTTTAAAAATATAAAAATACTACAGCTGTATAGAGCCTGGAGAATAGATTACAAAAACACCAAGATCAACTTTCTAGCTCAAGTGGTTCAAAAGTTATGATTTTTTTAGTAGGGACTTCAAAACCACTTTTTTATTATGGGATTATCCTCCACATTTTGTGACACTCATTTTGTTTTTTTTTTTAACGCCTATAACTTTATTATAAAATGAGACAAAAATATAATATTTACAGGGAACATAGTTAAATAAGAGTACTTCTAAATAAAGCCACAAAATATACATTAGTTTTTGTCAATGTGCCGCAAATATTAAAAAAAAAAAACTTTATTATTTGCCTATTAAAAATGTATAAAATGCTGATTCATCACTTATTTGTAATTAATTAATTAAAATTTTGTTTTAATTTTGTTTTTAATTTCCCAAAAATCATAATAATAATATTCTTTAGATATTAATTGCAGATTTTCTGTGGAACTGTTTAGCATTTATAAGCATAAACAAATAATAAAGGGATTATTTGTTTTATTTATTTAAAATTGACAATTACACTTTTTATTTTACCATTTTCTACATTTGTATACTATATATTATATCATTCCTATGAGTATGACAAAACAATCAGCATGTCAGTTATTTTAATTTTGTAATCTTAATTTTCAAATCAACATGTATTATTAGAATCAACTTTGACTTTAGCTGTTAATAAAATAAGTTCTAGTCATTTACTAGAGGTAAGTACAGGTTTTTATGATTGTTCTTTAGTAATAATATCTTAAGTAATTCTTGGATTGTAGTGTCAGAAAGTGTGTTTTTTCTTTGAGAAACCGAGGATTATATAATAATTCTCTTGTGGAATATTGTGATATGTGATTAAATATAGGATATTTCAATACCAAAGGTAAGTGAATATTTCAAAATGTTTTACTTAGTTTATGCCTTAAGTAAGAATCACAATATTCATTAAAATTTTATTACATATCCTAAAATATCATTAAATATAATTTATTATAATAGGCCCTACAAATTAGTTGGGTTGGGTCTAGGCCTTAACCCTGATATAGTATACTTTGTATTATACTATATTATATGTATACAAGGCCTCTAGCCTAATGCCTAATGGTCATTATATATATTATATATATACAAATAAATATTTATCTATAAATATATAAACTAATATAAATGATAAATATATTAGTTGTAATAAAAGCTATTTATCCCACTCCTTAAATCATTTATAATAGTATAAATACTATTATAATACTTAAACTAAGCCTATCACTATCTAAGTCAAAGACAAGAGCTTATCATTCCCATGTCAGTGTCAGCCAGGTCCATGGCAACCAACCCAAAAATTAAAATCACTGATATTCAATAAGCCAATAATAATTATTTATGTTATAAAACATTTTTTATTTATATAAAATGATTTATTATTAGTTATATTTCCCATTTACACTCTGGATAACCAACTTAATGAATTATTAATTACCCCATGGCTGCTATCGATAATTGGAAATAAGCAGACAAGCACGGTGGCCATGATGACAAATTACATAGCCTAAAAAAATGACATCTTGGAAATTCGTTTTTGAAGCCCACCCATGGTCTACACTCATGAATTTTGGATATGTTTTAAATGAACATATAAACTAAAAGAGCGGAGTATTTTTATTTAAGAGCGCATTTTTAAAAAAAAGTTATTCTTGAGTGAAGTTGACCAATTTTTAACTTCAATTTTCAAAGCTTTAATCTTGACCCAAAAAATCAAACGAACTCTTAATATAACAGGAAAGATGTCGGCTTTAAGTAATTTGCGGAAGTAAAATTATATTATTATGCTACAAATCGATTATGAAACGCGAAACGATACCCTCAGTAAATTAAAAAGTAGAGGTCGCCATTATGATAACGAAAATATGATACCCATTTTTCGGGTATTTCCGGTCGATACCGAGGTCCCTATTCTGTAGCTTTTTTTGTGCCCCATAAATGACCATATTGCCTACATGGCATAGCATAAATAATATATAAATGAACAATCAGCTTTCAATGAGTCAATGATTAAAATGAGCAATCCATTCTTTAATTATTAAATGATATTATTAGACATTAATATCAGTATGATTATGCCTTATTCTTATAAAATTATATTTCAAAATTATAGAACTTATTATGATGATTAAAAATTAAAATGAAAACACATTACAAAAAACA